TCCCATGCAAAGGAAAAGAAGGCAAATAAATATCCGAAGTACTGAAATTGAGCAGAATAAAGGAGTCTCGAACACAATTCAAATTATCTGCCATGCGAAAGGAAAATAAACGAAGGTTTGCAAAGTTTCCGAGAAGGCAAACAGTTAGGAAAAGAAAACAAAACTGATGTGGCTACACGAGTCCACGATTAACTTCCTACACAATCGATTCAAGTCATCCCTAGTTAGTCCTGCTATCGATAATGGTCCCGGTTCTCTGAATACTCCCATACCCTAGGGACTTATTCGGATTCCTACACCCTTCTCTTTCGAGATGATTTATGAATGGTCTTCGCCTGAAGACACTAAAGCAGCACTTTTAGTAAAAGAACTGCCGAAGCCTGAGCTTAACACGACATATTACTAATATATATGTACCACAATTATTGCACGAGATTAAGGTCTCTAGAGTTTATCAAAATTCAATGTCGGTGGATAAATTCTTAAGCCCCGAATTATATCAAATAAATAATAAACAATCCTTTCATAAGTAATCTCAATATTTCTTATGACTTACATACCTTGAGCGGTGCGGCATGACGAAGACGAGTGGTTGATGCTTATACTCATATATTCATAAATGCACATAAATCACGTTGAACAGTCTACAGAAACGCAGACCAACTCTGATACCAAAACTGTAACGCCCCACTTTTATATGACGAAAGTCAACGACTTTTCAAAAGTCAACTTAAATCTTTCAAAATTCTTTTCGTAAAATCAATGGTGTTACTCATCATAAATTCATATATTATCATCACATAAATCATACTCGCAAGTATCATAAATCAGAATTCAATGTTCAACCAACGTTTTCATAAATCCCAAGTTCATCAAACTTTTCAAATGGGAACATCTCCTAATCCAAGGTTTCAAAATCCCAGAGTTCATAAATCGTAAATCATAAATACCCAATGTCATGAATCGTAAATCCTCAGTTTTCAATGCATAATTAAAACTAGTGTTTATAAATAACGTCAATAATCCAAAGTTCATAAATGTAAGCGGAAGCCACTAAATGATGTCAGGTCAAACTACCGACCACCACTCGTCTTTGCCTCGTCATTCGACACCGCTTAACCTGCATCCATGAAGAGCTGGTGGGAATGAGCACAATTGAAATTCGTAGTGCTCACCATTATGCACATGAACAATAATGAAGTACAAAAAAGTAAATGGCGTTGCAGTATGAACATAAATCATTCAATATCCCATCTCCTATCCTAAGTTCATAAATATCTCATGTGCACACCTATAACAATAGACTACTGCTGATACACGTATGAAATGCCCTCGCTCGAGCCTTACATCGATGCCCAAACAGTAGGAGGCTCAACTGTAGCACCTAGTGCTTTAGACAGGTAATACATCGCAAAGGAGACTACCCAAACGTGGTCCATTCTATAACTACGGGGGTAACCGTTCGACGGCCGATACAACTCACATCGAAGTTTACATGTTCACATGCATACATTGATCATATCCAAAAATATAAACATTTATCATTCATAGCATAGACAATTTAAATAAAACCCACCTGGTCTCTAGAGAACAGAGAAATCATAGAAATCAGGTAAGCAGGCCGAGAACACAGCTCGTCAAACACTTACGATAATTAAAATAGCTTATAAACGTCTATCCGACACCAAGGTCATCATAATTAAGGCACGTAAGGTTCATACCATCAGTACATAAACAAACTCAGCCCATATAAGTCACATAAGCAAATACTTAAAAATAATTCCCATTTTCGAAAACATAACATAAGTTTTTCGAAACTTAACGCGCGCAACGATTTTGAAATCAACATAACTCTCAGCATATGACTCGAATAAACACGATTCTAGTTGCATATGAATCCTAAGACATGCGGCTACAACTCTCCTGAAGACATCGACAATAGATAAAGTCATTTACCAGGAGTTTAATTGACAAACATTTAAAACGGAGTGGCAGCCCAAATTTAAATCATGCAGCTGGCAGGACCTCAGTAATTGAAGGATAAATGAAGCTACATCCCTCCAAAAGACTTGACTCAATAACCATCAGATAGCTAACTCGATTGTACACAACTTTGCTAAATACCACATTGGCAAATAACAACCTTATCAACGAGTTTAAACACAAAACATGCAGTTCATGAAATCTGACAGAAACAAGTTCATGCTACAAACAGCACCTCAGTAAATTAACTCCAACTCATGTTACAGAGCTCGGATCAGCATAAACCATACCTCATTAGAAAGCTAAGAAACAGATATACAACTTTCATGAAGTTCACGTTTTCATTTGATCACTTTAAGACATGATAAACAGGTCAGACATAAAATTAGCACATGCTATCGGGTCTTTAAAAAAGCAGCTCGTGCGACAATTTTGTAGAAATCATAGCTTATTCGTTTCAAATCAAAATCACATGATTCTAATGTTCACTTAAGGACAACAGAACAAGCTACATATCATATGAAGACCAGATTCCTATAAAACGATTTTATGGGAATTCAGCAGTGCAACAGAACAGTACAATTTCATAAATTCATGAAACTCCAAAAACCCCCACAAAATATAACTCCTAATGTCTTAAGCATCACATAAAATCATATAGACATCATCCTAATAACATATATATCACACACATAATAAAAATATCAGCATGCCGAACGTTCTCATCAATACCGTATCACATGAATACGAACAATTTATACAAACACGCAATAATACCGAGTCTAGCATGTATGAATCATTAAAGATTTAACATAAATCACATTAGCACATCAAATATATGAAGGGTAGATGAGTCTCGGTACTGTTCTTGGAAAAAAGGTATGCTAAACGAGTAATGAAAAGGGCCGAACGAGACTGAACAGACTGTTCGGAGGCCGGGAGTACGCTCGTCGGATTCGACAATCGCCGAAGGTACATGGGTGGCCTGCTGGTGCGCTTGCAATGTGAAGAACTCAATCAATAGGGGCCCAGTGGCGATGGACGATAGCTCGCGAACAGATGAGCACACGCGGGGACAAGCCGAAGGTCGATAGGGCTGCTCGGGGCCTGACTACGATTAACGACGGGACGCCGGCGGTGGCTCACTATCGGGAAAAATAATAGGGACTCGCTCTCGGTGATGGCAGTTCTCGTGAACGACTCTTGGTTGCCGTCAAAATAAGGCTCAAATGTTGCTGTTGTACGCATTCGGCTTCGGGCTGAAAAGATTTGCTGCTCGTCGGGGCCCTCGGTGTTCGATAAAAGCCTCGAACGGTTGCCGTTATTCTCGTACGGGCTTGAAAGGGCTGCTGCTGCTGTTTCTGTTCGGTGATGGCGCAACCTCTGGCTTCTCTTCACTACTTTGCTGCCCCTCTCAAAGGTCGACGGTGATGGATGAAAAGGACGGGACCTGCTGCTGTACTGTTCGCCAGAAATCGGTTACTGCTCGTGATGGTCGTCCTGGTGGCCGGAGGTTTCAAACTCGGGGCTCGCGGCAGAGGTCCGTTGGTGGACTTTCTCTGCCACGTTCAAAGAGCTGTAGGTTGATGTTGGACGTGCTGAATCTCACTGATGCTCGCCTTTAATTATCTCCTTCTACCGTGGACAGAGGCACTACCAGGTGTACAGGTTGAAGAAGATGGATTTTGTGGTTTATCTCCTCTATTGCAGAACGTATGAGGGAGATGATGATCGAGAGAAATTTTCTTCTCTTTCTGTTGTGACGCCGAGGGAAATATGCGACAGAGAGTTTAAGATTTTCTCTGCTTAGATTCATAGGTGACGACAGGGAGATGAATTCTGTAAAACACGAGAGAGAGGGAGAGATGAAGCAGCTGGGGGATGTACGACATCTAAGGGGAAGAAATCTCTTGCACATATAATACTAGGGTAACCTACACTCCTTACTTGACCATCAAGCCAACAAAGGAGAGAGAGGAACTGGGTTTGGGCTCACGGCAGGCGCTAGTTTAGGAGACGGGTTCTCGGTCTAACTCTTACAGTAATATGCGAGGCTCGGTTATGGCATGATAAATTAAAATAACACCGATACAT